AAGCTAACGAGAAACAGTCGACAGACGGATGGACGCAAAACAGTGAACTGCGAACAGGGTTCATGCAGACAGTGTTGGGAGGAAAACAACAAAATGAGAATGTAGGAGTCCTAAGAGATGGTGAAACATGGCAGTGGAAATAGAGATTCTTGTGAGGAAAGGGACGATAAAGAATAAGAAAGTGAGACAAAGAAACTTGAAATGAAGAGAGGATTTTAAAGACGGTAACTAACGGTACGGGTGGAATGTACATAGAAAAACAATGCCCAGAAACCTTTCACCGAACTGCAAGAAGAGAGGATAATTTCTTTGTATGTGTGTGTGGGGGGGAGGATGTTTTAGCAAGTTGTCAGGAGCTAGCTTCGGATGATAAAATAACTCATGAATTGGAAAGAAGCGGCTGTAATTTAAGTTCGTCCCTGGAATTTTCCTGAAATGACTGAGAAAATCCAAGGAAGCCCTCAGTTAAGGTAGCAAGTGCCCCGACCGAGATTCCAACAGAAATCTCCCCAAATAGTAGTCAGGAGCATTGCCGCTAGGCTGACCTTATAGGTAGCAAGGAATATGATAATAACAGAGCAATAATAGATCAGTTTCGCTAGAAATCTATGCCGTACGAATGTAGTGTTACAAATTCTGTTCGTAAGTTCTTAATATTGAAGTATTTAAGTATACTTCATAATTCAAAATGTTAATAAGGCCGAAACATGTTGGGGCTGGCTGCACGCACACAACAGAGCGGGGTAACGGGCATACAAACAAAGAGATATGTATAAAATAAATCAACGAACTACACGAAAGAAACACATGTCTTCGAAGTTTATGATAATAGATCCCACAAGGGGATCGAAACTGCTTTTACTAAATTCAATAGGGCGTCCTCTTTTTATTCGAATTTTAATCCCAGTCGTGATTTTAATTTTAAAATTTAGACAAGCAGTGCACTGCCGATGACTGTAAACGGCCGAAACTTATCGTGAATAAAAATTAAACTGATGGTAACAATCTTGTGTTGCATTGTTACGGAAATATTTACTGATGAAATAATTGATATTAACGCGACGGGATGCTGAAATATAATATTATGTTAATATAGATCGTCTTGCTACATAACATGTAGTGGCATAACCCAATGTTTTTTATGGTACAGCGTTGCACAGCTGCGCAACTAAAGAAGCCATCGAGCAAAATTCCTCTAGAGAAGCCAACAGTCACTGAACTATTGTGGTCTAGTCTGGTGAACTGCTACTGGTCCTCGCCAGCATAGCCATTCTTAGTTTCGGGTCCCCCCACACGGTCTGAAGCTGAAGCTTCTTTGCCTTATTCACAGGAGACCATCTCTCATCCCGGCACACACCCATACACCCTCTCTGTGGTACGTTTGGCTTAATTAGTAATTTAAATAACGATTTGCTTAAATAACTGGTGCAAACAATACTCATTTTAGAGTTTAATATCTTCCAAAGTATAGAAACGGCTTCGAAGGCTTAAGAATAGACGGGAGGACACAATTAAAAGCCACCCTAATTAGAAAAAACAAATGTATCACCCTTTTCATAAGAAGGAACATATGATTCATTTAAAAAATCAGGCCAAAAAGCAACTTTCGCTAGTTTATTATTAGAAGTTTGAGCATATAGAAATAGGTTAAAAGTCTAATTCCCATGCCAACTGAAAACACATAGCATCTCCATTACAAAGAAAAAACGGCTAATATTGTAAAGGGAAATAAACGCTGTTTATTGTGAAAATATTGCAAAACAAACATATACACGCTTTTACTGCTGAATCAAGTTTCATAAGAAACTGAAGGACATCAACACAACTCAATGTACCCAACCCACCACCCGCAGACTGGCAGCCAACTGACGAGCAGCAGGAGCCCTTAGTTAGTTAGTTATTGGAGAGGGTGGGTTTCCCCATGCACTTAGACCAGTATTGGTCCATTGTGCTTCACTCTATGATATTCTACCAGTCTCTATACCCTGCCGATATTGGTGCGTACCATCAGTCCCGACCGAGCCAGCGAGTTCGGCCTCCACTAGCTTGGCGGTATCTATAATGCTTCCCCCATCTATCAGAGACATTAGAGACTACTGTTGGGCGGGAAAAGTCCTTGAATTTGGCTCAGTGACCTCCTTTGGAGATATGAGGTTCTTTTACGTGCCGTAAAGCTACGACACGGGACACACGGCTTAAAGTCCCTCCCGGAGGACTTGTTCCCTGAATTTTTCCGCCCTTAAAAATTCCACGACCTCTGCCGGGTTTGAACCTGCGTACCTTAAGTCATGAGGTGGGAAAGTTACCCCTAGACTACGGAGGCCGCAGGCATGCAACTTACTTCCCTGTATCAAAATGTTAGGTCTCCTGCAGCAGTGGGTCAGTTATAGTCATAAACTGAAACAGACAATTGCTCGATCGGTCAGTTGGCCAGATATACGAGTATTGATGCATATTTAATATGATCGCCGAACGAAATTTTAACGGGTAACGTAGTTTATACTTCCCCAATCAAAAGAAAGGGGTTTAAGACCCGCGGATAATTCGTTTGGAGGCCTCACCATATGCTACATAAGCCTTAGTGCTATTAACGTTCCCATTTCAATCCCGTACTCCTTTCGAATCCTGCATGTGACCGAATAATACCTTGAGGCCGTCGTGTAACGCCACATCCCATGAATGTCACGAGTGAATAATCAATTTTAAACTGTCTTCTTTATATAGTATTGTGATGTGGCGGAGCCAGAGCAAAACGTCCGTTGAGAAGCAACGGCTACGTTTCCGTTACAACAGATCGCACGAACATGTTGTTCCCATGTAACAAGTTGTGAACACTTCGAAACGAAACGGTACTTCGGAATGACTACATGGATTACCGTGACAAGGGATATGCAGATTACAAAAGGCAATCTGTTCTTGTGGGATTTTTCTATTCGGTTCTCCCAAAGTCACGAAAGAAGAGGAATTTGCTAGACAGGAGAGGAATCATACAGGAGTGTCGTACTCGAGTCCGAGTACCAGTAGAATAGAGACTGTAATAGAGACGTCAAATGAATTTAATCGTGAAATCTACAACCAACAATTATTAGTCACGCTTGCCCCTAATACGTGACAGTATACTACATTTAATTCCACGTACCTGAGTCCTTAAAAACCACAAGTCGCTCAAGTCCTCAAGAATTTCCGAATATTTCATAAAATCCGAGGGTTAATTTCCGCTTTTAAGAGGATCCTCCACTGGTCCCTATCCTGAGCCAAACGGATCCAGTCCATAAGAACCAATTCTATTTCTCTAAGAAATATCTTAATATTATCCTCCACCTACGTCTATGTCTTCCTAGTTGTCTCTTTTTTTCCTTTTTTCCCCACCAAAATCCTGTAAGCATTCCTCTTCTCTGTCATAGGTGCTACACGTCCTGCCCATCAGATCCTCGTTGGCTTTATCGCTCTAATTATATTTAACGAATAGTATAATTTACGAAGCTGTTCATTATGCAATCTTATCGAGCCTCCTATTACTTCATTCCGCGTGGGTCCGAATATTCCCCTCAACACCCTCAGTCTATGTTCTCCCCTTAATGTCAAAAACAAGTTCCATAATCATACAAAACTACAGGCAAGATTAGACTTTTTATACTTTAACTTTTACGTTTTTAGACAGCTGACGAGGATACAAAATATTCCCAACTGAATAGTAGTAAGCATTGCCCGAAGTCAATCAGCTCTCAATCTATTCTTGAACCAAATTTTGATTTGTTACTGTTGTTCACAAATCTTTGAACTGTGCCACATTCTTAAAGCATATGTTTATATCATGATTTTTCCCTGCATTCTAGCGATGAGACAGCAACATATACGTAGTTGCTTCTGAGTTTACTTCTCGAGCAAGCTCCTTACTAACGCCAATTATATCCAAGGAATCCGTCCAAGTCCGAGGTCCTTTGTAACATTTTGTAGAAAGCTTATTTTTTATTTTGAGAAGTAGAGAGTTCATGCCTCACACCGCGCGGCCACTGTGCTTGGCTTCCTTCCTTTTATGTCGAAATATTCCCCTCAGGACCCTGTTTTAAGGCTCTAAATCTGGGTTCTTTCGTCAGAATGAAATACCGTACAAAACAACAGGTAAAATTATGTATACAATTTCATATATATTAACGTATAATATCATAAATAAATGTAAATGTAATACAAATAAGTACGACAAATACAGAACTGTAACAAGGACAAGCATCCCTAACACTCGGAGAAATAGAAGCCTAACCACGTACACTGCACGCAGGCTCCTTCACGTCAGCAGTTTCATTTAAACGAACATTAACCAGGATTTGCCAATTAATTTCACTTTATTCATGAAAATTACTGTCTTCTGGGATTTGGCTTCTGGTAGAAGCTTACCGACGTTTCGAATGAAAGTCCATCTTTAAGAGAGAAAATACCCTGAAGATGGAGGCAGAACTTACCAATGAAATGTGAAAAACTTTTCACCAGATTACACAGCATCAGCTACCAGAAGACAATATTCATCACGATCTGTCATAAGGACCCCAAATGTCTCATTATTTATTTGTGACTTGTTTAATGATGCTGTCAGTCGCAGTGGGAAGGATCTGGAAGGAAGAGGTCGTGGCTTACTCTGAGGTACTCTTCCACTCTTCTATCATGTCTGGAGGAACGAATAAAACCATGTAAACTTAAGGATACTTGATGTCCGGGCCGAGATTTTAACCGCATACCCTTAGATAAAGGAGCAGGCGTACGACTCGCCCAACAGCAACGTTCGGCTGAACAGCCAAAAGAAAGCACAGATGAACGTTAAACTGCCTGGCCGTCACTGAACGTCATTGAAGGACCAAAATGTGAACAAGAATGGAAGGCAGCGGAAGACACGTGGGGGGAATAATGAAACCGGATAACACAATTGACAGCATCAAAGGGTCCAGTTACACTTTCTCGTCTATAAAAGGAGACTGAGGTACAAACAATATAATAGAAGACTTTACCTGAAGTCGTGGACCACAGAAAGACCAGAAATCTGCTAAAGCGCATCATCCTAAGAAGAAACGAGTGTACAACGCACCCTGCCGGCTGTGGGACTGAACTAAAACAGAGGGAAGCTTCGTCTCACCTCCTCACGTCGCGCCACCACCAGCAGAGTCCATACATGCCGCGCAGGCGCACACAGTAATTCTCAAAACAATTCAGCATTTTCAACCCTTCAGAGTCCGGAATTCTTCTAAATAATATATAAAAATTCAGTTCATACCTCGCAGGAAACGGAGAGTCTGGAATTTATTATTTTCTGGGATGTGATGCCGTGTAGTCCGGTATAAGTTCGCAGATGTTTCGGAGGAACGTACTGCAACAATCTTCAGGTTCGAAGCGCAAGCAAAGCGTGCAACAAGCGAGAAGAAGCTGATTGTTTCTCCATTAAAACGACAACCAAATTCATGCTGCTCAAGCAAATAGACGCGTTTGTTGTGGAAATCATATGAAACACTCAAATATACTGTCAGCAAAATACAGAGTGTTTGAAGTTTGAGAAGCTCTTGTGTATTGCACCTGAATATTCTTACAATGGAAACGCATCTGAAACGACCACTAATCCATTCTTTCAGAGTGCCCAATTAAAACCAGAGATGTGCACTTGATTGGGATTATTTATCGACATTATTGGAGCTGCAGCAGCCGGAACAGTTCAGTCGCCTGGACAGCCGAGGTTCGATTTCGGCCAAAGGAAAGAGATTTTATTTTTCTCTAATCCGCAGCGTCCAGACGGTCCAGACTGACTCAGTGGCCCAGGGACAACTTTACTTCTACTACACCAGCTGCTGACGTGGAATTGGCTTGTACGCCAGCTCAAAGCGTTGTGTCAGCCACTAAAGTTATAAGGATTGTGAAGGCTCAGTTGCACAGGAAACAGGAAAAGCAGCTTGTATCCTATTTCTCGGGGTTAATCTTGCAAGTTCTTGGGAAACAATGAAACACATCTATCAAGATGGTCGGCCATCCAATCGTGCCCCTGAATGTTAACCTCACTTACTATTAACTGTTCAGTAACTCCGTGTAATAGTTCTAGAAGAGAAACCAGACGCCCAATCAGTCAAGAGATTCTCCGTCTCGCATTGAACCTGAAAGTTCGTTACCGTGTTCACAACAGCCCCTGATTGGTCCAAATACTGAGCCAAATTAATCTAGTCCATGCTTTGCTACCCGAAAATTCGTCTTAATATTATCCTCCCATCTACACTTCTGGTCCTCCCATTGGCCCCGAAATGCATTTTAATTTGTTGTGTGTTCAGCCGCTGGATGCTATTGATTCCTTAGTAACATCAGTTCAGCCATGAAGAAAGTCGTCTTCTGAGATCTGGCGCCGTGTATTCTTTGTTTCAGCCGACGTTTCGAAGGAACGTATCGCCTCCATCTTCAGGGCAGGCGAATTGCGTTGCGAATACAGAGAGCAGTAGCTGTAATGATTAGGAAGTGAAAGGCGCTCCTTTATATAGGAAGTAGGCAGGAGTGGTGGTTAGGGAGAGGGGACGAATTGGAGCAGTGAAGAGCGATTAAGGCCATATATGGTCAGGGGGCGAAGGGGTTGCAAGAAGCAACCAGCTTTTTATATAAACCTAATGTTCATTAGTGTGTTCATAAGAACCCGACACTGGTCCCTATCCTAAGCCAGATAAATCCAATCTATACCTTCCCATCCTATTTCTTTAAGATTTATTTTACTATTGTTCTCCAACCTCCACTTGGCCTTCCGCATTATCTCTTTCCTTCGGGCTTGAATACAAAAGCTTTGTGTGCATTCCTTTCTCTGCCATGCGTGCTATATTCCCGGTGCAGCCCGTCTACCATGACGTGATGATACTATCAGAATTTAACTAGAATCAAGCCTGTTGATTATGGAGCTTATCAGTATGCAGTTTTTCCAGTATCCTGTTATGTTGTTCCTCTTAGGTCCAAACATTCTACGCGGCATTCTGAGCCTTCCTTAATGTGAGAGACCAAATTTGAGGCATACAAAGAAGAGGCAACCGCATGCGTTTTGTGTATTTGATCTTCACGTTTTTAGACAGGAGCCGGGAACTGCACTTCAGCGAACACTCTCCTTTCTTAATATCAGTGTATAAGATTTTAATTTAAAATCCGAATCTTTCCATTGATTTCAATGCTTCTTTCATTTTGTTCTTTCCAGATTTTCATTTCATTCCGTTTCTTTTTTCAAAAACATTTCCCCTAAAGCTTCTCTTTTAAGATTTTAACACTGGCAACATAACTCCACTTTGTCGTTACTGTCCCCCCCCCCACAACAGTACTTTCATACAAATCATTTTCAAATAACTTTTATTTTTCCATTCTACTTTTGAGTGGCTATGATACACTGCTCGGAAAGCAGACTCAGTAACAATATATCTTTATATATCAGATACATTGATTAATTCTGTGTTCATGTCGCTCCAGAGATAATTGACTGATATATGCACTAGAGACCATCTGCCCACTGCTAGATAAATAATGTATTGACATGTGCTTAGAGCCATGATCCATCACAGATACTTGATAGTGTCAGTTAATTACCCTGTTAAATGAACCACATTCATGATACCTATAGTAAAATGGCGGATACTTGAGGATGTGACTTAATGTTCTAATAAATTCCAGTTTTCAAGTTTCTTCTTTTACATGAAAGTGTGAATTTTCTGTAAGATTTGAGATTCTCACGAGTTCCAGTTTCTGGGATATAACGATATGTAAATTGTTGAAAGTCAACCGAAATTTGGTAGGAATATGACACTTCCATATTCAAGCATGAAGGCTGGTGGGGGGGATATATACTTACGAAACGTCGGTATCTTTAAATAGGTAACACGGCGTTATAATCCAGAATACAGAATTATTATTTTCCTGTTTAATATCACGGATCTAATACGGAACATCCAAAAACAACACGAAATTTACTTTGTAATCCTGGCAATATGTTCGGTAACTGCGGCCTTCGCAGGACATTTAAGTATCTGAGGTAGGACCTTTACATAATATTGTAATCTTATTTCAAAGCTTTTAAGTCTATTTAATTACACGCGTAAAATTTCATTCCATACTTTGAATAATATTCATTCATTCATTCATCAGTGGCTCTACAGCCCTTTGTTGGTCCTGGCCTCTTCTTCAGTTCCGTCGCCTTTTCGACACAGAAGGTAGGACTCCTTGAACGCGTGATCAGCACGTCGTAACGCATACACAGACATCCATGCCTTGAGTAGCATTCGAACCCACGATCCCAGCGTTCGAGCGAGCGAAGACAGTTCATGCCTTAGAACGCGCTACCACTGTGATCGCCTTAAGTGTTATTACCTCGTTAAATTATTATACTGTGGTTGCTGCAACCACGTCCCGGCGCGAGGAGTGACTACACTACTTCCACTTTCGGTGTATAAAATTAAAGATTCAAAGTGTACCGACTTCCCCATGAACAAATATGAAGACACATTTTCACATCCCACAACCATACGCCCTTGTTGTATTATTTAATGCGTGCTTACACGTGAGAGAGATCAAGAACCAAAAAAAAAGAACTCCGTGATTTTAGTCCGCAAGCGAACTATACCGACCGAGCGACCGCCGCTTGTCGGCGAAGTTTAGTGCCAACTTTTGCGGATAGAGGGTGTCATGTGGTCAGCGCAACGAAACCCCACGGCCGTTAATTTCGGTTTTCTAGAACGGGGCCGCTATTTCCTTGAAATTGCTCCTCAATTATCATCACGAGGCTGAGTGGGCCCCGTTCTAGACCCACTACATCTCAGAGAAAAATCTGGTAGCGCCGGGAATCGAACCAGAACCTCTGGATCTGCAGCCAAGAAAGCTGACCAGTAGACCACAGAGCCCCACGACTGGCAATGTAACACAACTGACATGAAAAGCCTCCATATAAAACTACCAGAAGTCAGTGCAACACAGTGAACGTGCAATAAGCTCCCAGAAGTTCCCGTGCCATGCCATTAAGCCATTCCTCGGTATTGTAAGTGAGCGATTTCTATGAGGTTTCCCCGTAAAAATTATTCATTCATTATCTCTGCCCATTGATTTAACATGTGAAGCTCATTCTTCAGTCCTCGATGTTCACACTACAGAAATTTGTCAGTAATGCTGATTGTACACCAATTCTACTGAACGCTTACTTCTTCTTCCTGATATTTCTTAAAATAAGCTGCACGAAAACAAATAATTTGCTTCCTTTGCCATGAAAATATGAATATATTGCGACGTGGATGGCGCAACAGGAAGTACTGGTCACGTGAACTCTGCGTTCTCGCGAGTGACGTCACATACCCCCACTCCTTCCATCAATACGCAATGCTCGGTAAACACCCCTCCCCTTTAGGCTGTGGCGTCACACAACAGGCGAGTTCGTGCAGCGACTACTGCTAGGCAATGCACAGGTAGAAACACCTGACAACAATACCTGATATCTGTTGTCGAGCAGCAATGTGTTCTCTATGTTGTCCGTGCCGAGCCTAGAAAAGTAGCAGCGAACACTATTCAGTAGTAGTGAGTGTTGAGGCAGTTACTAGAGAGAGCGTTACTAGTATTCAGTATGAGTTGAAGTCCAGCAGCTACGAGTTGAATTGTACTGAGTGAATGGCAGGGACTCCAGCAGGAGAAGTAAGTATGATACCGTAGATGGCAGTAACTGTGTAATTGTGAATTGTGTAAATGTAAGAGCGAATGTGGAATAAATTCGCTACATCCAAAACGGCGTGAACTTATTTGTCGCGTTACATACCCAACACGTGACAATATACTATTTCCGTTCACCATTTTCTATTATTTAGAGCGGTAGCGCCACAAAGTGATCATTCTGAATATTAAATACCTGCCAAGAAACGGAACAGGAGGGAAAATAAATCGCTTTTTCGGAATAAAACTGCATATATTCGCTCAGCAAACAGACCACAGTCTCAGAGCTGCGGAAAAACTGCGCAAAAGAAATGTATGTGATTATCAGACAACTAGGATACTCCATAATACTACGGTTTCTACGCCAAAAATAATAATTTCAGGTTATTATCTTTCCATA